TAGTTCTCTGTTAATTTTATGTGAAAAATAAACCTTTTTATACTCCTGTGGATCAGTAGAGCAGGTTGCTTGCCCCGTCATAAAGTCAGAGGTTTGATCTCTCTCTCTCCATTTAACCACAAATCGGGCCAAAGTCCAGCTGCTAGTTTTCTTCATCTGCAATATGCATTATACGAAATAGAAAGGACTGTCAAACCATTAGAATTTTTCCCGATTATTCACAATGCATATTACATAATATGCATATTTCTGAAACAGAAAACCCTAAAAATTTCAGTCTGATTATTTTGACAAATTGAATGCCTTCATTTGAACACCCTTAGTAAATTATTTATCTATGAAGGATTATTGGATGTGATTTTAAAAAAAATTAAAAAAAAAAAGATTTATTATTGAGACAAAACTTTCATTTTTGGTTTGTCTCAATTATTACTATAATTATTTAACCTTCTTTTTTTATTTGTCTTTCAATACTATTAACTATTAATTAAACTATTAATTCCTACCCTATTCTTCACCTAATAAAATATTTTTTTCATGTCATTTAATTTCTGATTTATTTATTTTAAATGAAATTTAAAATATTTAAATGATTAATTGAAATGAATTGCCTTTTTTTAAAAAATCAACATTTTTACGCAAATTCAAAATAAATTCAAATAATTTTGGTTCCAGACCAACTTAGTTAAATAAAAATTATCCATAAAATTTTTTGCATTTTTGTATATATATATCCGTCAATGTCATTCACACGTTTCAAGCATTCTAAGAGTGTGTAAAACTGTCTCCAAGTCAGGACCCTGATGCACAGTTGGACTTTCTTTGATTTGCTCACTGGTTGAAGACGACAGTGTTGAAGATTCGTTGTGTTTTTACCCTTATGTTATTGTTTGTTTTTCTCGTTTTTAACTTCGTCTCTGCCTCTGGCCTCCTGTTCTTCCTCAGTAATGTGTGGCTCTTAGTGAGTGGACCAGCACATGAGGGCAGATCTGACCTCGTCTGACTGTCGGGGTCAGACGGGTCGGTCCACCTGGACTGACTCAAGGTCGTCTCTTCAGCACGAGGACTTCTTATGGGCACAGTAAAACAGTGCTTGGTACTATCACATTTTTGATAGTCGGAATAAATTAATAAATCGAAAAAAATCTCTTATGTTTTACCATCGGTTTCACTGATCTGAATAATCAGTAATAATAATTTTTAAAAAAATGGTGGAACTAACTGTCCTGATATTCCTGCGAAAGAACATTTCCTGCTCTCTCTCTCCCCCTCTGTCTCTCTCTCTCTATACCATTTATTATACATAAAAGTAAGCATTTAATTAAAAACCATAATGCGGCTGTAGCTCGGAGGCTAATAAAGTACTGAAACTGAAGAAGGAAGCGGTAAAAAAAAAAAAAAACGCAACATGTCAGGAGAACTATTAATTAAAAAAAAAAAAAAAGCGAGTATTTTTAAAAGAGCGAATCTTCAACCTTAAATGAGAAGTAGAGATTTTTATGGTCGAAAAAGTCCACGTG